TATTTATTGTGTGCTAATAGTAAGAAGAACTATTAAAGATTGTATCCTATGAAATGGATTCTGTCACAAATTCTCAGTAATATGTTATAAATTCAACTTCTTAACCATTTGTGGATATTGGGCATTGTACACCTTCCCAAAATCTGTATTGAAGTAATCAAGGCTGGGTTCATTCTCCTGCATTTGTCTGCAACGTATGGCTGTCAAAGCAAGAGCTGGGAGTTGTCGGGCAAATACAATAGTGATCACATCTACTACTGTGTGACGTGAGAGATCGAGAGAGAACATTGTAACATTGTTTATAAACATTGATAGACGGGAGACAGAGAGATACAAAGTAACATTGTTTATAAACATCGATCAGACGGGAGATAGAGAGATACAAAGTAACATTGTTTATATACATCGATCAGACGGGACATAGAGGAATACAAAGTAACATTGTTTATAAACATTGATCAGACGGGAGATAGAGAGATACAAAGTAACATTGTTAATAAACATCGATCAGACGGGAGATGGAGAGATACAAAGTAACATTGTTTATATACATCGATCAGACGGGAGATAGAGAGATACAAAGTAACATTGTTTATATACATCGATCAGACGGGACATAGAGGAATACAAAGTAACATTGTTTATAAACATCGATCAGACGGGAGATAGAGGAATACAAAGTAACATTGTTTATAAACATTGATCAGACGGGAGATAGAGAGATACAAAGTAACATTGTTAATAAACATCGATCAGACGGGAGATAGAGAGATACAAAGTAACATTGTTTATAAACATCGATCAGACGGGGGGGGATAGAGAGTGTGACAGTGTGGCGATCTGTCACCCTGGATTCTCAACAAGGGCAGGTTGAGGGGCTCCAGGGTAAGTGTTTGATATGGAGGAAAGTGGCTTTTCACCTTCCTCCTTTGTTTGTAAGGTCTGTTTTGGGATCTGGAGCCTGGAGATTTCTTAGAGATTTGGGAGGGATGAAATCTCCAATCCTGGGCCCATATTTTGGGAGCAGCCAGCGTGCTGATTGCACAGGTGTGTGCAGGCCTTTTAGGGGAAGCCAGGCCATGATTCTGGGCTCCACCCCGGCAAACGGAGTCAGGAGGGCTCCACCCCGGCAGACGGGAGGTCTCTGCCTTGGAGTCAGGTGGAAGCCAGACTAGCTGTGTGCTGGTGCCATATTTTGGGAAGAGTCTGCAGGAGGCAGACTTAAAACTGCTTGCAAGCCAGGAGGCTGAATACTATGAATTTGTGTGATGGTGGATACCCCTGCGTGGGAAACCTTTATGTTATTGAACTGACATTTAAATAAAAGTGGGCAAACAGGCCCTTAAAAAATAAGCGAGTTGCCGTGTGCTTTAAAGAAGCTCTACCACTTGAAGCGAGTTCCCACAAGAGATACAAAGTAACATTGTTTATAAACATGGATCAGATGGGAGACAGAGAGATACAAAGTAACATTGTTTATAAACATGGATCAGATGGGAGACAGAGAGATACAAAGTAACATTGTTTATAAACATAGATCAGAAGGGAGACGGAGAGATACAAAGTAACATTGTTTATAAACATCAGACGGGAGATAGAGAGATACAAAGTAACATTGTTTTATAAACATGGATCAGACGGGAGATAGAGGGATACAAAGTAACATTGTTTATAAACATTGATAGATGGGAGATAGAGAGTTACAAAGTAACATTGTTTATAAACATCGATCAGAAGGGAGATAGAGAGATACAAAGTAACATTGTTTATAAACATCGATCAGAGGGGGGATAGAGAGATACAAAGTAACATTGTTTATAAACATGGATCAGACGGGAGATAGAGGGATACAAAGTAACATTGTTTATAAACATTGATAGATGGGAGATAGAGAGTTACAAAGTAACATTGTTTATAAACATCGATCAGACGGGGGATAGAGAGATACAAAGTAACATTGTTTATAAACATCGATCAGAGGGGGGATAGAGAGATACAAAGTAACATTGTTTATAAACATCGATCAGACGGGGGATAGAGAGATACAAAGTAACATTGTTTATAAACATCGATCAGACGGGAGATAGAGAGATACAAAGTAACATTGTTTATAAACATGGATCAGATGGGAGACAGAGAGATACAAAGTAACATTGTTTATAAACATAGATCAGAAGGGAGACGGAGAGATACAAAGTAACATTGTTTATAAACATCAGACAGGAGATAGAGAGATACAAAGTAACATTGTTTATAAACATCGATCAGACGGGAGATAGAGGGATACAAAGTAACATTGTTTATAAACATTGATAGATGGGAGATAGAGAGTTACAAAGTAACATTGTTTATAAACATCGATCAGAAGGGAGATAGAGAGATACAAAGTAACATTGTTTATAAACATCGATCAGAAGGGAGATAGAGAGATACAAAGTAACATTGTTTATAAACATCAGACAGGAGATAGAGAGATACAAAGTAACATTGTTTATAAACATCGATCAGACGGGAGATAGAGAGATACAAAGTAACATTGTTTATAAACATTGATAGATGGGAGATAGAGAGTTACAAAGTAACATTGTTTATAAACATCGATCAGACGGGGGATAGAGAGATACAAAGTAACATTGTTTATAAAACATCGATCAGACGGGAGACAGAGAGATACAAAGTAACATTTTTGCTTCTGTATGTACTCTGTCTCATTCATATTCAGGTTTAAGAAATAAGCGTAAGGCCCACATCTAGCGCATCGTCGCGATTCTGCCCGCCATTCCATATCACTGTGCAATCTTGGATAACGCACCACTCGTGTTTGTTTGACGTTCATTTTTAATGGTGCTTAAACATGGTGCGGTTTTGCCAGGATTTCTGCATGATTTTACATGTTGCAATTGCGGCAAACCAAATTGCGTGAAGCGTGTCGCACACACGAAGCTCCTCCTCCTCTGTGAGTGACACGCTTTGCACAATGCTGTTTGCTGCTATTGCTGTGCAATAAATCGCATAACAATCGAGGTAAAACCGCACTGTGCTTTACGTGACATTACAAATGAATGGCACACAAATATGAACAGTTCACTTTGGCAAGACTGCAGAGTGATATGGAATGGCGGGCAGAATCGCGGCAATTGTGCGTGCAACCCTAAGTCACAAAGTAATGCCCCCCCCCCCCCCCCACAGTCACACACTATTATTATTATACATTTATATAGCTCTAACATATACCACAGCGCTGTACAGAGATCACTGAGCCAGCCACATCAGTCTCTGTACCAGAGGAGCTTACACTCTAATGTCCCCTCCCCCCACAGTCCCATCAGTCTCTGTACCAGAGGAGCTTACACTCTAATGTCCCCTCCCCCACAGTCACATCAGTCTCTGTACCAGAGGAGCTTACACTCTAATGTCCCCTCCCCCACAGTCACATCAGTCTCTGTACCAGAGGAGCTTACACTCTAATGTCCCCTCCCCCACAGTCACATCAGTCTCTGTACCAGAGGAGCTTACACTCTAATGTCCCCTCCCCCACAGTCACATCAGTCTCTGTACCAGAGGAGCTTACACTCTAATGTCCCCTCCCCCACAGTCACATCAGTCTCTGTACCAGAGGAGCTTACACTCTAATGTCCCCTCCCCCACAGTCACATCAGTCTCTTTACCAGAGGAGCTTACACTCTAATGTCCCCTCCCCCACAGTCACATCAGTCTCTGTACCAGAGGAGCTTACACTCTAATGTCCCCTCCCCCACAGTCACATCAGTCTCTTTACCAGAGGAGCTTACACTCTAATGTCCCCTCCCCCACAGTCCCATCAGTCTCTGTACCAGCGGAGCTTACACTGTAATGTCCCCTCCCCCACAGTCCCATCAGTCTCTGTACCAGCGGAGCTTACACTGTAATGTCCCCTCCCCCACAGTCCCATCAGTCTCTGTACCAGAGGAGCTTACGCTCTAATGTCTGGAGGGCTCTGTCTGCAGTACACACTGGTACATTATGACCTCAGCCTGCTCGGGGACCATTTTTGTAAATACAGAGAGAGACTTTGCTGCCCCCTATAGGTCAGGGTGGCGTTATGGAGGAGGTCTTATTTTCATCCCCTGCACCCAAGGCAGGTCAGATCTCTCTGCATTCGATGCTTTCCCTGCCAAGCTGGCCGAGGACACTGATATGGGGACCTGGAATTGACTTTTACATGTCGCTCCTGGTCAGCAACAAGAAGGAGCAGAGATCGGAGGTGAGTCCACTCAGCTCCCTCCCCCACATGCCAGTTTTGGGCCCACAGATGGGCAAGAGGAGAGTGTGTAACCCCCCCACCACCACCATTGGGTCAGTACAGATCTGGCAGTGAATGGTTTAAAAGTCAGGGGTGCAATCCAAAAAGAAATCAATACATTTCAGGCGTCCAATCACCCCCACCACCCATCACGGCTAGAAGGAACATGAGATTTCCATATATTACAATTAGAGATGAGCGAATCGAACCAGGCGAACCGGAATTCGAGTCGAATTTCAGGAAATATTCGATTTGCGTCGAATCCGAAATTTTGCCTACTTCGGTGTGCGCGAATCGAACATTTCCCGATCAGCCGGCAAAAGTGTCCCTGCAGTGAGCTCCGCTATTTCTGACAGTTCTCTGACAGAAGGAACACATGTTTAGCGGTTGAAACATTGTATCTATTAGTTTCCATTTAGGATACAGATGTTTCAACCGCTGTACATGTGAAGGAGCTGTCAGAGAACTGTCAGAAATAGAGGAACTCTGCACATACACTTTTTGCCGGCTTGGAATTATTCTTCTTTTCATCCTACTTCTTCTTCTTCTTCTTCTTCTTCTTCCTCATCCTCATCCTCTTCTTCTGAGGATGAGGATGAGGATGAAGAAGAAGAAGAAGAAGTAGGATGAAAAGAAGAATAATTCCAAGCCGGCAAAAAGTGTATGTGCAGAGTTCCTCTATTCTGCAGATACACTTAGAGGAGCTCTGAAATAATTCCAAGCCGGCAAAAAGTGTATGTGCAGAGCTCCTCTAAGTGTATCTGCAGAGCTCCTCTAAGTGTATCTGCAGAATAGAGGAACTCTGCACATACACTTTTTGCCGGAAACCGCTGTATGGAGGGAATGTCCCAGAACTGTCAGAAATAGACTATTTCTGACAGTTCTGGGACATTCACTCCATACAGCGGTTTCAACCGCTGTATGGAGGGAATGTCATAGAACTGTCAGAAATAGACTATTTATGACAGTTCTGGGACATTCCTTCCATACAGCGGTTGAAATCCATTTATGGAAACAAATAGATACAATGTTTCAACCGCTGTATGGAAGGAATGTCCCAGAACTGTCATAAATAGTCTATTTCTGACAGTTCTATGACATTCCCTCCATACAGCGGTTGAAACCGCTGTATGGAGTGAATGTCCCAGAACTGTCAGAAATAGACAGAAACTGTCACAGAACTGTCCTTCTTCTCATCCTTCTCCTTCTCATCTTCTTCTCATCCTTCTTCTCATCCTTCTCCTTCTTCTCATCCTTCTCCTTCTTCTCATCCTTCTCCTTCTCCTTCTTCTCATCCTTCTCCTTCTTCTCATCCTTCTTCTCATCCTTCTCCTTCTTCTCATCCTTCTCCTTCTCCATCTTCTCATCCTTCTCCTTTTCCCTTCTTCTCATCCTTCTTCCTTCTGCTTCTCCTTCTCCTTTCTCCTTCTCCTTCTTCTCATCCTTCTCCTTCTTCTCATCCTTCTCCTTCTTCTCATCCTTCTCCTTCTCCTTCTTCTCATCCTTCTCCTTCCTTCTCATCCTTCTCCTTCTTCTCATCCTTCTCCTTCTTCTCATCCTTCTCCTTCTTCTCATCCTTCTCCTTCTCCTCATCCTTCTCCTTCTTCTCATCCTTCTCCTTCTCCTTCTTCTCATCCTTCTCCTTCTTCTCATCCTTCTCCTTCTCCATCTTCTCATCCTTCTCCTTCATCCTCCTTCTTCTCATCCTTCTCCTTCTCCTTCTTCTCATCCTTCTCCTTCTCCTTCTTCTCATCCTTCTCCTTCTTCTCATGCTTCTCCTTCTCCTCATCCTTCTCCTTCTCCTTCTTCTCATCCTTCTCCTTCTCCTTCTTCTCCTTCCTTCTCCTTCTCCTTCTTCTCATCCTTCTCCTTCTCTCATCCTTCTCCCTCTCCTTCTTCTCATCCTTCTCCTTCTCCTTCTTCTCATCCTTCTCCTTCTTCTCATCCTTCTCCTTCTTCTCCTTTCCTTTCTCATCCTTCTCCTTCTCCTTCTTCTCATCCTTCTCATCCTTCTCCTTCTTCTCATCCTTCTCCTTCTTCTCATCCTTCTCCCTTCTCCTTCTTCTTCATCCTTCTCCTTCTCCTTCTTCTCATCCTTCTCCTTCTTCTCATCCTTCTCCTTCTTCTCATCCTTCTCCTGCTTCTCATCCTTCTCCTTCTCCTTCTTCTCATCCTTCTCCTTCTTCTCATCCTTCTCCTTCTCCTTCTTCTCATCCTTCTTCTTCTTCTCATCCTTCTCCTTCTTCTCATCCTTCTCCTTCTTCCATCCTTCTCTCATCCTTCTCCTTCTCCTTCTCCTTCTTCTCATCCTTCTCCTTCTCCTTCTTCTCATCCTTCTCCTTCTTCTCATCCTTCTCCTTCTCCTTCTTCTCATCCTTCTCCTTCTTCTCATCCTTCTCCTTCTCCTCATCCTTCTCCTTCTCCTTCTTCTCATCCTTCTTCTCCTTCTTCTCATCCTTCTCCTTCTCCTTCTTCTCATCCTTCTCCTTCTCCATCTTCTCATCCTTCTCCTTCTTCTCATCCTTCTCCTTCTCCTCATCCTTCTCCTTCTCCTTCTTCTCATCCTTCTCCTTCTCCTTCTTCTCATCCTTCTCCTTCTCCTTCCTTCTCATCCTTCTCCTTCTCATCCTTCTCTTTCTCCTTCTCCTTCTTCTCATCCTTCTCCTTCTTCTTCTCATCCTTCTCCTTCTTCTCATCCTTCTCCTTCTTCTCATCCTTCTCCTTCTCCTTCTTCTCATCCTTCTCCTTCTCCTTCTCCTTCCTCATCTCCAAGGGCATTTAAATTAAAGGTACAGTGTTCTGCACTAATTTAAAGGCTCTCTGAAGCCTAGAAACCCTTTTTATAAGTCATCTTCGTAGCGAAGAAATTCGCATCGAATCGAATTTCACACTGGAATTCGCCGAATCAGCCGAATCGAATTTTTGAGAAATTCGCTCATCTCTAATTACAATCAGATTGTACCGTCTTTTTTGGACCCCCCACCAATGGAATGGGACATTTATCGCATAATGCATGAGATATTTCAGGCAGGACAATTTGCTGAGAGATTGGACGGTCCGATTGTACAGTGTATAGATCTTACATTACAATACAAGCCAAGGAGACGGGGGAGATCCTCCGGGGTGTAGAAACCAAATGCCTGGGAACCCGATCATTGACACCAACATTGAGCACCTGCCAACCGCCCTGCGGATGGATCACGTCCATGTACATCATCTGGCTTGCTCCGGGCTCCGGGCTCCGGGCTCGCAACACGCTGCTCCCATGACCAATCTGTCCGGTGGATTACGGATCCGGTACGGTATGTTTACATTGTAAGTTTTCTTTTGGAAATACATTTTGGAAGCCTTCAGCATGAGCCGAGGTCGTGTATTTCCTGATCGGTATGAATCTCATTGTTGGTGTTTGGTATTTGTACCATTACACCCTCTACTCGGCCGTGTATATATAGGCTGCCATAAATCTCTCTTCTGCACTGACTCCGCCCCTTACCCTACCAGCCCCGCCCAGTGTTCAGTGACCAATGGGCACCTCTCTAAATGCCTTGAGTGGGAGTTCCATCATTTTGTTTCCTAAACTGCACCCATAGATAAAACTTTTGTTAATGTTGAATAGAATAGGAAAGGGATTAGGACCCCTGCCAGGTTTTCCTTCTTTCCAAGAGTTCTCTCATTCCTCGCTGTCCTGCGAACAACATTTTCACCAGACAGGAAGTGAAGGCAACTCTTTCCCTGGTGGAGATTTTCTCTCACTTCCAGTCTGCTGAAAAAGGTTGTCCTCAGAACAGGAAGTGAGGGGAAATCTCCTCAGAACAGGAAGTGAGGGGAAATCTCCTCAGAACAGGAAGTGAGGGGAAATCTCCTCAGAACAGGAAGTGAGGGGAAATCTCCTCAGAACAGGAATGAGGGGAAATCTCCATAAAACAGGAAGTGAGGGGAAATCTCCTCCAAAACAGGAAATGAGGGGAAATCTCCTCAGAACAGGAAGTGAGGGGAAATCTCCTCAGAACAGGAAGTGAGGGGAAATATCCTGTGAAACAGGAAGTGAGGGGAAATCTCCTTTAAAAAAAATTGAGGGGAAATCTCCTCAGAACAGGAAGAGAGGGAAAACCTTCTCAAAACAGGAAGTGAGGGAAATCTCAAAACAGGAAGTGAGGGAAAATCTCATCAGAACAGGAAGTGAGGGGAAATCTCCTCTGAAACAAGAAGTGAGGGGAACTCTTTTTAATGGAGCCCCGGAACCTGGCAGGGGGTCTAAACTTTGATCCAAAATTGAAAAAGGCACACTTTAAGTGGCTGTAAAAGCAGAAGGTGCATTCTATGTATGATGGTAAAACACCTTTCGTATGCTGCTCCCCTCCTCAGCCCCCCAATACTCACCGGAGCCCAGTCTTGATCCACGGATGTGCACAAGAGCCTTGGCTGTCCCGGGATTCCCAATCCTCAGTGGCTGAGACAGAAGCGGGAGCCGTTGGGTCCCGCTGCTGTCTCAGCCAGTGAGCCAATGGGTAGAGAGCAGGGGGTGAGACACACAGAGCCAGGCTTGAGAGCAAGCATGCACGAGTGCCCCCAGAGCAAGCTTCACTCAGGGGACACTCAGCATGGGGGAGGAGCCCAGAGTGGCACTGGGGGACCCAAAAAGTAGAGTGTCGGGGATACTCTTTGGAAATGACCATTACACAGAGCAGGTGAGTATGACCTTTTTTTTGTTTTGTTTTTTAAACACCAAACCTTTAATACCACTTTAATGTACTGGATGGTAAAAGATGGCGGTTTTGGCGCACTAGTCTAGAGTCGGCTGATCCCTGTATGTGTATAGAGTTCCACAGAGGAGATGAAGGTCCTCAAATGGAAATTCCAATGGAAATGATTGCCAAACACTCTGTGCACCACCTCTATGAGACGGACGGATCTCACATAACAGAGGGCGTGATTTAAGTGTAGTGAGTAAAGGACGTTTATCAATAAAAACAGCTTGAGGTTTTGGCTTGAAAAGAGGCGGGGCAGCCTCAAAACATGTTGCCACACCCCTCTTACTGATGGTTCAGGAAGTGATGTCACTTCCGGTCAGCTGTGTCCTCCACCAACTACTTCCTGCTTCCACCAGAATCTGGATTTTGCCAACAAATTCTCTTCTCTAATCTGGGAATGTAGGGACAGGACAGCTTATTGAGCTGCGGATACTGAGCTGCGGATCTGGGCTTTGTGATCCCTACGGATTCTCCACATATCTGTGAGTTGCCTGCTGTATGTTTTCCATGCCTGTATATGCTGCACTTAGCCGGCGTCCTCTGATGTCCTCACTTGTACCCAGCTGACCTCCCTGAACACTTATCCAGAGCTGGAATCTGTGCTGAGACCTACCCCACCCAACACACCTTTACTGGCTAGGTCTGAGTTGCTGGTTTGCTGTTTTTAATAATAAATGTTCTGTACTTACTACACTCAGATAGCGCCCTCTGATCATTTTATGTACATTTACTGACTAGTGATGAGTTGCCGGTTTGCTGTTTTTAATATGAAATGTACTTTACTTACTACACTCAGATAGCGCCCTCTGATCATTTTATGTACATTTACTGGCTAGGTCTGAGTTGCCGGTTTTCTGTTTTTAACATGTACTTTACTTACTACACTCAGATAGACTAGGTCTGAGTTGCTGGTTTTCTGTTTTTATGTACATTTACTACTACACTAGATTGTACTGTTTTTAGGTCTGAGTTGCACTGTTTTTAACATGAAATGTACTTTAGTTTTACTCAGATACACTGATCATTTTATTTACATTTACTGGCTAGCCTGAGTTCTGGGTTGATCATTTTATGTACATTTACTGACTAGGGCCCTCTGATCATTTTATGTACATTTCAGCTTCTGCCCCCCTGTCTGGCTGGAGTTGTCCCTTATATATATGGGCAGTATTTCTATCACTTCTATGTACACTAGCTTTCCACGGTCACCAGTTTCAGTGCTTACACCTTTGGCATCCCTAGGGGCCACTGACGGGAATCCCTACTCCTGTTAAGGAAAGGGGCAGGTAAAGTAGTGACATCACTGCCCAAATACGGCCATTGGCCTTGTTGGGGTAATGACATTGACCTAATATGGCCATCCAAAAATGAGCACAATCATGGTGTCTGGGCACTTGCCATTGTGATGTATCACATGAAGTGGCAGTTGGGGCTGAAGCAGCTTTGCCAAGATGACATTAGGACAATGGACGGTGATTTGGGGACATTTCCATCTTCAGCTCCAGCAAATGTTAGAAAGTCCCGCACTGCAGACAGTCCCTAGAGCAGCGCCCTGTACCCGGGAAGCAGT